GGTGCGTGTGCGTGCATGCCCAAGATCCCAAGAGGAGAATGGAGGAGAAGGGATTGCGGCATGGCTATCCCCCCTGGGGGCTGATTTCTCGCTTTCTGTCTCTATGTCTCTGTCTCTGGTGAGCGCACGCGCCCTATAGCAAAAACCTCTCCAAAAAAAAAATCATTTATCTATTTTAATAAAGTTAAATAAAATAATTTTTAAATCACTCATTTATTTTATTTATCTATTTTAATTTGACCAGAGAGAGAGAAAGTGAGAAAGCAAGCCGCCAGGTCTGGGACTCAAACTGTGGTCAGCCATGCACGAGTCCAGCACCCTTAACTGCCACACCTCCTGCCGGCCCCTTAAACTTTTATATTTAAAAGAAGGACCTCTGCCAGCCTCATAGCCAAGTGGTCCAGGAAGCCTGATCCCACATGGTCAGCCACAGTTTGAGTCCCAGCCCTGGAGGCTTGAAAAATACGCCAGGTGCATGTATGAGCGTGCCTAGAATCCAGGCAGGATGGAGAAACGAAGGAGCCGGGCAAGACGACATTGCCACTCCCTCTCGCTCTCCATCTCTCTTCGGTGAGTACGTGTACTATGTCAAGACAAATAAATCGGCCAGCAGGTGGCATGGTGTTTTAGGCAGCCAGATCCCATACCACAGACTATGTGGTTCGAGTCCCAGACCATCACATCAGGCGCATGTGCGTGTGTGCCCCAAATCCTGAGAGGAGAGAAGCGACTGAGGCATGCCCTATGCCTGGGGGGCAGTGATTTCTCACTTTCCCTCTCTCTCTCTCTCTCTCTCTTCTGGTGAGCGTGCGTGCCATGTAGCAAAAATAAAGTAAGTTACTGAGCCAGACTGACATTGAAACACGTTTTCTATTTGGAATCACTGTAATTCCAAGCTCTGCCAATCCCCAGGGCGTTCCCGTGTAGTTCCCCGGAGTCTAAGTTTGTTTACGTTCCTTGCAACACTCTTCGCAGAACGACGGCGGGGCAGGGGGCACAGACGCAGTCCTGAGCCCCGGTGCTCCTTGACCACTCAGACACGCCGCACAAGATGGAGCCCGCGCCATGCTCCGCAGAGGACTGACTTGGGGCCCCAGCTGTGCAGGACCCGCCAGCCGCGACTGCTTCGCCCAGGCGGCGCCCAGCGCTCAGGCCAGGCAGCTGTCTCAGAGGCCTCTGATCATCCACCCTGGCTGCGCTCCCGCTTGGCTCCGCGTCCGGGAGCAGTGGAATCATTTCCATGCTTGCTTGCGCTGTTCCATGTTCTCTTGGCTGCGTTCCTCCTCCCAGGGGGATTGTTCTCTCTCAACCGTCAGAGAATAAAGCTTAAACGTGAAAAACAAGACATCGGACTCAGGCGAATGGGGTAGACGCACCTCTGTCTGCATCCACACCTGCCTGGGTTGTTAGCTGCCCCATCAGGCCCTGCAGAGGGGAGGAGGTGGTTCAGGACGACTTTGAACACCATCCTGGAATGGCCACGCCTTTTCCCGTCACATCAAAGAGCCTCATTCTTCTCTCCTGTGGTACAAGAGTTTCATAACCTGAGTAGCCCTGAGTACCCTGACATGATCCTCCAGACACCCATCCTTGCTTCCTGTTTTTCAAACGCTTCCTTTACTTCCCAAATTTCAGATGGGTAGGGAAATTATTTGGGTCTCGGTGTTCTCACTGGTGGATGCAGTAATAGGTGTGATGAGTGATTCATGGTCAGTACCTCTGGCCAGTAGCTGTGGGAAATAAGAGAAAACTGAGGCCACAAAAAAAAAAAAGAAAAAAGAGAAAAAGAAAGAGAAAGAGACTGAAAATAGAGAACACATTATCATGTCAGGTAATAAGCAAGAAATCACCCCCCCGGGGCAGGGGGAAATGGCCACACCGCAATCCCTTCTCCTCCATTCTCCTCTTGGGATCTTGGGTGTACATGTGCCTGGCGTGACTTTAAGCCACCGGGTCCAGGACTTGAACCGCGGTTGACTACATGGGAGTCCAGTGACATAGCCATTATGCCAACTGCTGGTTCCGTCAGGTGATTCCGGAAGGAAAGATTGCCAGCATCCTTCCTAACCTCTCAGTA